TACACCTAGCCTTCTTGGACAAGGGCGAAAAATCTCGGAGGGCCCGTGTGCAAGTTGTGCACGTTAAAGATCCCTTGGTTGTCTAAAATCGATAAGAGTAGGCTTCAGCCGCCACCCGGGGAAAATTAAAAAATTCCTACCAACTGAAAAAGTTTAATGTGTCCCGCGCGCTCATATGACCTTATGCAGTTGCGAGCGCCGTAAAACACTTACAAAAAGTAGTCTGCGTATTGACATATTTGTGTTTCATGTGTTCTTGTTTCTTTAAACAGGTTTGAGGGTTGTTGCTATTGTTTAATGTTTTGTTTTTTAAAATGTGTTTTGCTAATGTTTTTTCTTCCTTGACCGTTTATTTAATTCATTATGATTTTTTTTTTTGTGTGTCTGTGTGTAAAGGGGAAGTGACGACGAAAGTTACTTCTGTTAAAAATAAAATTGGCGGGTGCTCTGGCGTGGTTTGCTTCTTCTTTCTTATCAAACGTCTATCGTCCCTATCTCCCCTTCTTCTTTTTTATGTTTGTTACTCTCTTGTAACATCTCTAATCTTCTGGCGCTCATAATAATATGGCTTTATAAGATAAGATAAGATAAGGGCGCTACTCTGTGGCGAGCGGGTGAGTTCACTTTGCTCTGTGCTTATTTTGTGTTTTTCTCAGTTATTCTGTTGTTGCAACAAAGAAAGATACAGAAGGTCATTTTTACCATCTTCTATCAAAATGCTTCCATCTTAACCATCTTGTATAAGTATACTTACGACCTTAGAGCATGCATCAAAATAGCATTGAGTGTGTATCTAGCTTACGATTATTATTGTTTATATTGCTGCTCATTTATATTATGCATGTGATTGTAAGCCTACTTGTGTGTGCATGTGTGTGCACGTGTGTGCGTGTGTGTGTTTGTGTGTGTGTGTGTGTGTGTGTGTGTGTGTGTGTGTATGTGTGTGTGTGTGTGTGTGTGTGTACACGTGGTGGAACACCAAACCAATGTGCCAGGATCTGGACAATAAAGATGTGTCTTATCTTATCTTATCTTATCTTCATTATAATACTAACCTTAATCATTGCCCTGACCTTAAGACCTCTATTATTTGACCTCTAACCTCTCCGGAACAGAACGTGTTCTCTAAGTGGGTGGTTGACGGGTGCTCTGGTGTGGTTTGCTTCTTCTTTCCTATCAAACATGAATCGTCATTATCTCCCCCTCTTCTACTTTTTTATGTTTGTTACTCTCTTGTCTTCTGGCGCTCATATTACCTTATGCAGTTGCGAGCGCCGTAAAACCTCTACTACTAAAACTAACTAGACCTCTAACTTTTGAACCATAACCTCCCCCAAACAAACGTGCTCTTTGCCCCTGACCTCTAACATTTGACCTCCAACATTTGACCTCTAACCTCCCCCTAACAAACTTGTGTGTTCTCTATGTCGTGTTTCTCTCGTCAGGCTGACGCCCCCGTACATGCTAAGCCTGGTTTTCTTCACCGGATTTCTCAAGTTCTTCGGCTCCGGCGAGACTTGGTTCAACACCATGCCTATAGATGAGGTAAGAAATGCGACGACGAAAAAGGAAACATAATAATAATAACAACAATAATAATAATAATAATTATAACAATAAAATTAACAATAATGATAATAATAATAAATAATAATAATAATAATGATAATAATAATAATAATAATAATAATAATAATAATAATAATAATAATAATAATAATAATAATAATAAAAAATAGCACTTGTATAGCGCATATCCCCACTCGAAAGCAAACTCTATGCGCTTTACACTATATTATTACCCCAGCAGACCATAGAACACCCAGAAACATTCTCAGCTTCCCGGGAAGTATACAGTGCAAACAGCCGGTTAAGCGCTCAAACACTAACAAACTGACAAGATCTTTCACTATCAAAAGCTGGGTACCCATTTCCACCTGGGTGAAATGAGGAAAATTTGTGTAAAGTGCCTTTCCCAAGGATACAACGTTTGGCCCGTGGCTCGAACCCCCGAACCCCCAACCTCACGATCACGATTCCGGTAGCCTAACCACTAGGCCTAAAGGTTTTACGGCACTCGCAACTGCTTAAGGTCATATGAGCGCCAGAAGATTAGAGGTGTTACAAGAGAGTAACAAACATAAAAAAGAAGGAGGGGAGATAAGGACGATAGATGTTTGATAGGAAAGAAGAAGCAAACCAAATCCGAGCACCCGCCAACCACCCACAAACATCAGTAAAAAACTAAACATTTCGAGAAGAAACGTCACAAGAAGAAATAATACAAAAACAAACATCACTAGAAGAAATAATTTTGATATTACAAAGAGAAAATCACTAGAAAAAATACCACAAGAAGAAATATTACAAGAAGTACACTTTTCTCTGATAGTTTCTTTTCTGACTGGTGGCAGTCTTTGTGTTCTTGATCCTTAGGCAAGGCGCTCACAGGACAATTTTAGTTGCGCAGCAGTTGCTGTCTCCGGGCAACTTATTTTCTACACCGCACGCACAAGAGCTAAGCAACAGCCAGGCAACAGTAGGCTATCATCATTACTGACTTCCTCATTTGATGCCATGGACTTCCACGACGCAGTTGCTGTCTGTGCTCTTGTGATTGTACTTAGGAAGAAGAAAAGGAAAAAGTGGTTTTGAGTTCACCCTTTGGCCTGTCAGAAGTTTTTAAAAGGGCATTTTGTCAAACTGCATGAAGATTTGAGAGCATACCCTGCCAAGTTTTTCAAAACTATTATCGTAAGAGCTTAGACCGTTTTTATGAACTTTTACGTCTCGTGGGACCGTCAATTACGTATCGAAACACCAACTGGAGGAACAGCATTTCAGTAAGAAGAAAGACGGTTTGGTTGCCTGTAGAGGTGGGCTAAATCCGGATAAATATAAGGATAACCGGATAATTCTCAATGAAAGTGTTGAAGTGATGCTAATCCGTTTGTCGAAGTGGTTCTTACCCATTTGACGAAGCGGTTCATATCATATTAATTGCCGAAGAGGTGCACTAACATATTACCCGGATTTTGCTAAAGCGACTCATTGCCCAGCCCTAGTTGCCTGTGCGCGCTGTGTCAGTTTGGTATGAAACACAGGAGATTTGAGCAACAGTTGCGTTGCCGGAAAGTTGTGACAAAACACAAACTTTTCAGTCTCCAAAAACCCGATTTGCCTGTGCGCGCGGTGCTGATTTATTCCATTGTTTACATTTGGGCGAGAAAACAGTAGCGCAACTAAAGTTGCCCTGTGCGCGCCTAGCCTTACTGTCTAGTCTAGATTCTTCCTACAGGGCAGTGACACTGCTCGCCCTTCTATGTCTCGTCATGAAACCACTTGTGGTATGCAGAGCAACTTTGACTAAAACCAACCCTTATATTTCGCTTGTCGGTTAATTGGTCGCTTTTAAGCACAACAGGGTTATCCCGTAAAATGCTGTTTTGAGAAAATCGAAGGTAAAGTATTTGCCCGTTTCAGTTTCTTTAAAAGACAAAGAGTTTTTTCTATCCCCAAACAAATATGCGAACCAATGTAACAAAACTTTTCCTATAGGTAGAACAATGCCCACTCTTGGAGTAGGCCAAGATCTCAGGAAACCCCCGAAATCAAGGTTAGCCCGCTTGTCCTTAAAGACATTTCACGGTCTGTAATACCCGATGTTTGGGTAAAAAAATCGATTTGTAACTTTCTCAAGTTTTTGGTACCTGAATATCTAAAGAATCGATAACGCTTGATGTTTCATTTAAAAAAAAGTCAAGAATTCTCATTTATAGGCTTTTTCCAGAGGGCACCCTTGTCAAAAGTTTGGCGCGTTTTCTTCAGATTAGCCCATAATAAGATGGCCGCCACAGAGACCAACTTTTTCATAAAATTCCTTATGATTCTTCTTAATTAGTCTATAATTAGCTTAAATCACCTTTAAAAATAGAAAGAAAGTGAAACCCCTAGAAAATTCCTCGTACCGTGCACATAACCCCTTAAAAGCGATCAAACCACTTGCGGTATGCACCAACATTTTGACAAAATTTGTTTTTTTGTTTTTGTTTTTATTGTTTCCGTTATATGTGTTCTTTCTTTTCTTTAGTATTGATCTTGATTTGTTTTGTTTTGTTTCTTCCTCAGGAAAACTGTAAGAAGTATGCGTGGACAAACCTTCTGTACATCAACAATCTGGTGCACAGTGAGAACATAGTGAGTTGACACTTACGCTCGTTTTTCCTTCTCTCTATCTTCTCCTCTTTTTCCTCTTCCTCCTCCTCCTCCTCCTTTTCCTCCTCCTCTTCATCCTCCTCTTCCTCTTTTTCTTCCTCCTCCTCCTCCTCCTCTTCCTCCTCCTCTTCCTCCTCCTCCTCCTCCTCCTCCTCCTCCTCCTCCTCCTCCTCTTTCTCCTTCTCCTCCTCCTCCTCCTCCTCCTCCTCTTCCTCTTTCTTCTCCTCCTCCCCCCGCTCCTCCTCCTCTTCCTCCTCTTCCTCCTCCTTCTCCTCCTCTTTCTCCTCCTCCTCCTCTTCCCTTGCTTTAATATGCTGTGATGTGGGCCAATGGCCTTAAACACTGAATAAACTTACCAACTTACTTACTTTCTCCTCCTCCTCCCCTCCTCCTCCTTCTCCTTATTCTTCTTCTCCTCATCCCCTTCCTCCTTCTCCTCCCCTCCCCCTCTTCCATCGGCGGTACCTCCGAGTTTAACGTCCATCTCGGAAAGTTCTATCGGACTCTCGGCGGTTTAAGTTGTTGAGACCATGAGGTCAGAATCAAATGCTCTATCCGCTCTATTAAATTCGTCATATTTTTGGGAGTCGTTATATCAAGATGTTCAAAGAATTGCCCCCGAAAAAGCTTGGCCATGCTGTAAAACTCCACATTTTTTAACTTCAAATTTCTCAAAACTAGGCACTGTGCAGAGAGAACGTTTAAATTGTAGGATAGCTTTGTGCTGGTAAAATGTAAGACAGAAACATCAGAGGGAAAGTAAAGAAGTAGGACCTACAAGTGGCGCCCTCCAACCACCCGCAGCAAATAACTTAGACAATAATTATAATAATTTGCTACCAGTGGCGCTCTCCAACTACCCGCCCAAAATATATATGATTTCCCCTTAAAGCTTGTTCAGTTGTCTTGCCATCAGTGAAAAGAATGTCCATCTATCTTGAGATAGAAGTCAAGATATTTGAGATAGAAGAAGGTGGAGTCGCCTGGTTTGAAAGGTAGAATAAGTGAGAAAACGGCCGCCAAAGTTCTGTTATTTCCACAGCTTACCCTTTTTCAGTAATGTCCACCCAGAAATGTATTCTTACTTGGACAAAAAACAAAAATTCGATAAAAATTGCCGAACCGGCAGAAAAATGCCAGTTTCTTCAATTACATTATTTTGACGAGCGCCTGATTTCACCACGCTGCCTCACAAATTACATGGTACTATGGCTGTGACGAAATGTGAAGTGTGCTGACAAAATGAGTTACTTCTCAGATTATAGACCGATGAAAATAGAAACATCAAATTTATAGGTTAAAGCTTTACAATTTATCAGTATGAAATGATAAAAGACATGTTAAACTTGAAGAGAATGGCATTGGTTTAGAGATACGCTACAAATATGACCTTTGTGTTGATTTTTGGCTGATAACTTATTTTGTTAGCGCGCCGTGACATGTAAATTAATGTTCTTTTTTGTTACAGTGTATGCCGCCGAGTTGGTACCTGGCTAATGACATGCAGTTCTACTTGGTCAGCCCTCTCCTGTTTGA